GTGGGGAAGGAGTGATTCTGCAAGAGCATGTTTGCGCCAGGAGTGTAGCTTTTCTCTTTCGGGAAAGCATCATAAAAGTATAAACTTTTCCTATCTTCTTTAAGATTAGACAGTGGACATAATGTAAGCTCTTCTTGACAAGCCCTTGTCTTCAGTGCTGGAGACAGGGTGTCAAGACCCTGGCAGCCACAGGCTGCTTCTCCTGAATTGCCCTCGGCCATCTTCCCGGGTCCTGCCCCTCCAGGTGTCACCTACCTGCTTGGGCTTTCGCTTCTTCCTCTCCAACCCACCAATCCCCTCTTCTGTTATCTGAAAGTTTTGCTATTTGGGATTCAGTGTTCACTAAGAGGTATTTCTTATCCACTCTGCTACTCTGTGCTTAAGTGGTACAGAGGCAGGATTTTAAACATGTATTTGGGGATTTTTTTTTTTGAGTCACCCCATTTTGGGGACTGTGTTTCCAGAGTTTGACCCACAGATAAATAGAGTGTTGGTGTATTTTCAACCACCTGTTTGATAAGAACCTTTCTGTTAGGTAGCATTTGAAATTCCTAGCAGCTAGAAAATGCTCTTCATCTTCCTGCAGCCAAAGCTGAGGATTCTTTCAACAAGCCATTTACACACCCTCAGGGAGAAAAACACATCTATTTGCTGGGCTGTCCCAGCTTCACTGGGGGAGATGCAATGATTAGAGTCCATCCCAGGGACTGATGTGTTTAAAACTTCAACACTTCTGCACAGACCACAGTGTGTGACTCTGTGACATGAGATATCTTCATTAATCATTAAGTGTTACAGGACTTGTCAAACTTAGCAGGCTTGAATTTCTTTCTTCATACTAGTGGACAACATTCACAGAGGCCCTTCCTGAGTAACATGAGCCAGAGGAGAATTTCACCATAATGTGTGTGGAATTCTGTGTGTACACAGGGTCATCGGTTCAGTCTCTAGAAGAGTATTTGGTGCTTAATACGTGTGTTTCTCCCCAGTTGGGCTAGCTAGTATTCCCATTCCATTTAATGGCACCAGCTTCTCCAGCTGCTCAGGCTGAAGGCCTGAGTCATCTTGATTCCTGCCTTCTCCTCACCTCCTTCACCCAGTCCACAAGCATGTCAGGATGGACATCCCACGTCAATACACTCCCCACCAGGCTGCTGTCTTTCTCCCGTCACCTTTAAATCTCCCTGGACTCCAAAACATCCTCTTCCCTGCTTCCCTTGCCTTGCAGTGTATTCTCCCTGCACCAGCAGGGGGTCTGGTATCCCCTGCAGAAGACATCCCAGTACTGTGAGTCCAGCCTAACTGCTCTCAGGGACATGGCCCTGAGTGACCTCATCTGCTTCTCTCCAACCCTGCCTCCCTGCACCCTCTCCTTCAGGGACTCGAGTCTCTCTGTTCCGTAAATGTGCAGATCATTCAGAACCTTTGCTCTGTGGTTCCTTCTCCCTGGAGCAGCCCCCTTTCCAGCTCCCCGCAGACCCTCTTTCGTCTTCCAGGCCTATTTGGATGATGACTCCTGGAAGCCACAGATCTTGTCCACCCTGGCTCAGAAAGCTGCCCCGAGTCTTCCCTAGCATGCCTGCTTGACTCTCTTTGCTGCAATTAGCTAAAGGTTTTGCTGTCTATATTTGCTGTTTACTTGTCTTGGTGATGAGTCTGCCCCCCACTGTGTGCAGGGTGCAGGGTGGCACAGGCAGGTAGGTGCTCAATGAATTCACCTTCTGCTATTGACCTCTCGCCTAACTGACCACAGACATGAAAACGGATGTGGCACAGTCCCTGCCCACCTGTGAGGGAGCAGACAGGTCAAGAGATGTGCTGCCATTCCCAGAGAATGCTTCATGCCGAAGCTTCACCTTCTCTCTGGGGTATGAAAATCCCATAACATGTGGCAGCTCCCCCAGGGGAACAAGGCCCCTAGCGTGGGCCCAAGAACCCCTGTTGGACGTTCACTCCTGCTGCAGCCTTGGGTCAAGTAGTTACCCTTAATGCGCCCAAGCTCCCCCTCACAATGGAGATTAGTTACCAACTGGCCACTTAGCCAGGTGAGACAATGTGTATTAGGCACATGGCACCCTGGAAGACTACAAATTGGAGCTGATGCTTTCACAGGCAAGCTCCAGTGTAATCAGGGTTCCCGGGGGTGGGGGGAGGTTTGTGCAGGGGGATCCTTATGGATGATCAGGACTCTAGTTCTCTCACTCCCATTTCTGCATAGTCCATGAATCCTTCATATTTCCATTCTCAGCCCCTCCTTTTCTCTTCATGACATTCTCATCAATAATATCTTAAAGAGAAAGAGAGAGTAACTGTAGAGAGCAGGGTGACCAGGACCTCAGAGTGGCTGACGGCCTCTCACTTGTCACTGTGATCTAGCAGGTGTGGACAAGGACTCTGGCTGCCAGCGGGCATTTATTAGGTAGCATAGCGCCCCCTGGTGGGCACTGGTTTCTTAACGAATCTGCGCGTCTGCCAAAAATTCACAGCCTGAAAATGCTCATTGCCACGTATTCCATGCCTAGCAACTTATCCTATTTAGAAAGTACATGGTCACCGACCAAATGTTGAATAATAAATTATGTTCACAGCAACGAGTGAAAATATAAGGTAATCATAAAAGTGAGAAGACAAGGAAATTCCGAGAGTATCAAGAATGTACACCACTAGAATGGCTGTGAAAAGGATCTTGCAATTAATTGAAAATTGCTTATTTATGTAGGTACTGGGATTAGGACTTCAACGTTTGTATCAAAAGGGAGAGGCACAAATCACTCTGTAACAGTGACTTCAGTGTCTAGGTCCTGAAAGTCAAAATAAGGCCAATGAATTGCCCCAGACTGAAGGCACTCAGGAGACAGGACTGACAGATGCAAGTCAGGCTTCAGGCTTCAGAACTGGATTTTTTTCCTAGAAAAGGACCTTTGGTGACACTTCACTACATCTGAGCTTTGGGAGGCACTTTTGTATCTATGCTTATTTTCTGATTTGGTGATTATACTATGGCTAGATACAACAGCTCCCTTATTTGTAAGGGATACAGTGAGTCCTCACTTAACATCACCAATAGGTTCTTGGAAACTATGATTTTGCACAAAGCAATATTTAATGAACCCCAATATTACCATAGATGAATGGACATTCTTTCTGGTCACAAAAACATCCTCAAACTTGTAAATGAAGACCCAAAATACCTCTAAAATTAAATAATCATTTGTATTCACCCATTCATCATTCATTCATTCGTTTTCCAGCTCTCTTGTTCTAGTTCAGGAACCTGTCTAGCAGTTCGGGGCATGAGGCGGTCACCACGCCTGGAGAGGTTACCCTTCTGTCATTGGATGTACACACACTCACACACATGCTCCTGCAGAGGCAATCGAGACCTGCCACGAACCTCACGTACAACTCTTTGGAATGTGGGAAGAAACCCATGCAGATGAGAGAAGAACAAGTAAACTGCACAGCAGTGGTCCAGGCTGAGATAGATTTTTTTTTTCTGCATCAGTGTTATGATAACATGACACATTTGGAGAATCTTCTGCGTACTATAGCATCTCTGGGTTGCTGGACAGCATATCAGCATTTCCGGAGGGGAAACATCATCACTGTTTGTATATTATACTCTCAGCTTCTTTCTAGGATGTTTTTAAAACACCAAAACTGGTTTTAAAAACCTCAACAGTAATTGTTAGCAATTGTCTAGGACGAAGATCAATGAAAGACTTTTCTGGGGAATGCTTCCTCGCTGACATTCTTTAGGATTGCTGATCCACGATGGCACTGAAAAGCAAGGGCTTTGCAAGTCAGTTTGGCTCTGGCTTTTCAATTGTCCACCTTCGGGGCTCTGCCTCTCACTGCAGGGCCCACCATTCCACCCTGGGTCTACTGACTGCATCAGCAGGTCTTGCTAACAACTTGGCTAACTGTGCTTCAGAATCACCCTCCATGAAAGTGTGGGACATGGGGGCCCCAGGCTAATGGAAGCCTTTTACCAAGAAGACCGTTGGGGACAGTGTTAGATTGCTGGCAGCCCATCATGCAAACCAGCACTGTGGCCTGGCAACCTGTGCATAGAGGTGTGAACACTCCTCTCCTTTCCCAGGAGAAGAAAGGTGTTAGCAAAGCCTCTGTCACCTAAGGCAAACCCCTGTGCTCCTGAGATTGTGCTGGTTGTTGTTTCAGCTTGGAGAGGACAGTCTTCAGCATGGGCCCCCTCCCTGTCTCCTGTCCAGCTTCCAAGAGTGGACAAGCTTGATAAGTGTCAGGGACACTGTGCACCTTATGGAAAACTTCTGTCCTCAGCTCCTGCCCCAGGGGCTCTGATTCTCCAGGGTGTGGCTAGGAGTGGGTGCATTTAACCATGGTCAGTTCTTTTTTTTAAAGATTTCTTTATGCATACATAATTAGGATACAGGTCAGAGGTGCAGGTGGTGGGAGGATTCACCAGAGACAGAGTGGGGAGCAGAACAGTCAGGTGGACTGAAATACACTGCTGAGGGGAGCAGCGGGTGAGTCAGGAGAGGTCTGCTACACCATGTGGGTCACCTCCCTGGCTGGGGATCGAATTTGTGCTGCAGTGGCTATAGTAGCTTCATAGTGTTGTGGTTTAATCCCTTGTGCCAAAGGTCAGGTATTTTTGATCCTTTGGCTCATGAGTCCTCAGAGAAACTGCTCTGGTGACAGAAAACCTGGACTTCATGGCCAGAGAGCCATATGTACACCCACAACTCTTTCTCCGCACACCAGATGACCTTGGTCAAGTCACTGGGGCTCCCTGAGGCTTGAGTTTCACCTAGACATCGAGTCTTTTGTGAGGATCAAATGTAGTGGAAGAGAAGGCACCTTACAGACAGCCAAGCTCTCCAAACGTAAGAGAGGCGGTCTGGGCCCTGTTGCCACTGTGGCCTTGACGCTCTACCCCTGGGTGTTACAGAAGCTCAGCCTCAGTCCTGTGCATGACTCCTGGCCAACTTTTAAAATGCTGTTCTCTCCCCATCCAGCCTTCAATACAGCAAAGTGTGAGAAACTACAAAAGGAGAAGGAGGACCTGGAGAGGCGCTTTGAGGATGAGGTGAGGCGGCTGGCCTGGCAGCAGCAGGCTGAGCTCCAGGACCTGGAGCAGCGGCTGCACCTGCAGTTCCAGGCGGAGATGGCCCACCTCCAGCAGGAGCACCAGGCCCAGCTGCTGCGCATCCGAAGCCAGCACCAGGAGCAGGTCAGTCCGCTTGGCGCTCCTGGCTCCTCTCTGCGGGTGGGGGTGGGGGTGTCGGCGCCCACAGAGGAGTTGGGGCCACTTTGGCAAGAAGTCCAGGTGTTGGTGAGCTGTTTGTAAATTCTCTCTCCACCTCCTGTCTTCCTTCCTCCCTCCTGGCCTCCAAAGCACCTCCCACTTGGGGCTTTGGCATTTGAGACTTTTCCTCACCCCAAGTGACAGCATCTCCCGAGCACACACACACACTCTGCTTGCCCCGTCTGCTTTACTGTCTCCTCTGTTTATCACCAGCTCGGTACACTTGCCAAATGGAAGAATAAATGTCACTAGTCCACTTTCACCCGCAGTCTTACTAGAGGGGCGAATGTATCCGTGGAGTAACTAGAGGACAATTCCCTGGGTGCCTGCTAGGGGTCACTCCCCCCCATCCCGGCTGCCTTTGGCTCTGTGAGCCAGGTGGATTAAGGCTAATGAGTCTGAGCTGCTTCCATGAGAACTGGCTCGGTGCCTTCTTTGCTCTTCTTTCTAAGTTCCTGAGTCTCGAATGCCTTATTCACACCCCCTCCTTGATGTAATTATAAATCTGCTGTTGACAGAACTTTATTCAGCCTCTCAGACTCGACATCCCCCTTTGCTAGAGGCCTCTGGTAACCAGACACACAACCTGCTTCAGTTGGTTCAAACTTAGAGACTGGGAAACAGAATAGCTTACAGCTAAAGTTACCTGTGGGTACTAAGATTAGAAACTGAACCCAGCCTGTGGTGTCCTAAGCCCACTGGACATGGCTCCTGAGTGGACAGACCGGCTGCTGCCTAGACTCTCACCCATGAGACACATACATGGCCCATGAGACCTCAAAAGGAGTGTGAACAACACCCTGTTCTAAGCCTCTACCCCAAGGCTTTTTATTCCCCCATTTTACAGAGATGTCTAATCCCCCAT